GAAATAACTTCAACCAGAAGGACCCCATCGCTCATAAAATGTAGTAAAAGCAGCATGAGAACAAGTTCCTTTTGCAGCCAGATGTAAAATGTAATTCTATTAAAACTCTATTTTGACCATTAAAGGTTCTGGAAAAAAAAGCTCCCATTCATCTCAAAATAGGAGCACGGAGCAAAACTCCAGATCACAACATTTCACAGCAGAATTCAAGACGTCGCGAATAGCTGGGATGTCACCGGATGACACACTGCAGGCAGCAGCCTCAGATGGAGACGCTGATACAGTCGGTATCAAAACCAAAACCAGACTGTTGACAGTTGACACATTTGTGTAACAAAAAGGCTGTTTAAAGTGCAGAAGCATGTAAGCGGCGCTCAGGCTCAGCAAATACAATTCAATAATAAGTTCCCTGAATTGTAGCAGGAAAAAAAAACAATATTTGCAGGAGGAACCACCGGCAGCCTGTCGTCACATGAGCGCAGAGAGGCTCCACATGCTCCCAAGGCTAGTGCTGCAAGTACGGTTCAGCGACGGCACAATATCTTATTCCCTCGTCACTATATTTCCCACGAGGGAGCCAGAATGAGCTTATGACACCGAGAGACATTCCTGACATTACTCACGCAAAATTACTTTTTGTTTATTTCACCAGCACACAGGGTAGGATCTGTTTGCTTTCATATTACACAACACAGAAGAGTGAGGTCAGTTTTCATATTTCTTGCAGCTACACTGTAAACAGCCTGATGTTGGCAGAGATTGTGTTTTTTTTATTTTATTTTTGTTGCCTGATGCAGCCACAACCGCTGCAGACGTTGACTAATAATCTGGACAACATTTTAATATCGTGTGACGAGGCGCAGTGCGGAGCAACCTGACCCTTGTGCGTTTGCGTTTGTGTGCGTCTGTGAGCGCCGTGTGCTACTTCCAGCTGCCATATGAACTCAGCAGATGAACCCAGATCAGCTGTTTGTCCTCTAGGGGAGGCATTCTGACTCATCTGATTGGCTAGCAGCTGTGTGTCACACTCTGTGTTTATACATACTGTATATATATATATACACATGTGCAGATGTGTGTCTGCGTTGTGCGCCTCTCTGTGCATCTGCTCGTGTGGAAGTGATGTATTTTGGAAACATCCCGATCGCAACTGGAGGGACGAGAATTGCCACTAAATTCGCTGTGCTGAGTCTCTTTTATCTGTACGTGTGTTGCAGAAGGATGCAGCTATAGTAGGAGGCTTCCCCAGAGGAAGCGGTGGTAGTCAGCCTGGACCCTCTTTGATTCTTTATTCATCACCTCTTTCTATAATTCACAGCACTGTGCAAAAGTTTAATACACAAAAAGCTGAGCGAGGAGTCGTTCAAAAGTCCTGCCATGAATCATTCTTATTTATCAATTAGTGCAGTAAACAGAAAAGAAAACTCAATGAATTCTTCAAGATACACTTGCAGACAGTGTTTGTACATGGAACATAGACGGTTCTAAGCCTCTTGGAGAACTTGCCACAGTTATTCTAAATCAGGTTTATTTATACATCACGCTTTACAGCAACCTGAGTTGACCGAATGCTGTGTGTGTTATGAAACAGGCAACAAGAAAAATGTGTGCAAAAGGCAAGAAAGGAAAAAGAAAAAATGGGCAAAATCAAATTGTGACAATAAAATAAATACAAAATACAGAAAAACAAGGCGAAACTGGGTAACAACTTGTAAGGTGAAACTGCTAAATAAAATAAATAGTACGATAAAACCAGGCAAAACTGGGTAACAACTTGCTAGATTAAATTCTAAAATAAAACTAAATTCAATACTAAAATATTAAGACCCGAAGCCGTTGAAAACATTTGACATTTTTCATGTTGTCTCACTTGCTTCTGTCTCTTCACAGAATCCCACAGCGACTCCATGAAGATGCTCCTATTCCAGTTGCAGCACTTAAATAGTAGAAAACCCATAAAAACTCATCTCTGTGTGTCGAATGTAGATATTTAGATGTTTATTATTATATTTATGCCTTAAAAATGACTTAAATGTAAGTCCACATCGTTGCTTCCTGTAGAACGTGAAGATCTCTGACCTTTATGTTCAACCCTCCTCTGCTGCTCGCGGCAGCTTGAGCACACCAACTCACTTACGAAACTGCTCCAACGCTGTAAAACTACTCTGCACAAGTTGGAATATTGGAGCAATGCAGCTTTGCATATTCGAAGAAGAACGTAACCGAGAGCCCACAGGTCACACGTGAAACCCTGGAAGTCGAGCACGAGTGCAAAGAATGCAGTTTAAAGGTGGAAAAACTCAGCCATGACTGCTTATTTCACTCAACATGTGTCTTCTAGCATGGAAGAAACACCAGAGGTACATAACCCAAACAGGGTAAAAACCTTTAAGTCTCTGATTGTATGTTCAGATCAAACAATCAAACTCCTGCTTGGTTATTTTTGCATAATAGATAAAGAGCCTAAAACGTTTGCACACGCTTGCAGAGACTCATAAATGTAGAATAAAGACATGAAACTGTCATTATTTCGCAAATACAGTCAGACTACAGTGACATAAGCCATAATGAAGCACCCTGTGCAACATGGCTGCTATTAAAAAGCGTCTCGGTGCTGCAGGAGGAGCAGCAGGAGTATATAAAATGGGGAAGGACAAGTGTGAGAGGGAGGTATTAGTGTGGAACAGGAGGCTCACCTCTCTTATGGAACATAAAGACTTCCATCTGAGAAGCAGCCATCTCTATCCATCTCATTTTTTATTTTTTTTTCCCACTCGTGTCTCTCGCCCTCGGTCGGGGTCAGGAGTCACACATTCAGACATCCTACTTATTAGCTGCAGGGCTTTTCTTTCTGCTCCGTCTCCATGGTCTCCGCTCCTATAGCTGCCGGCCAGCTCCAGGAATCTGCACGCTCAGTCCACTTGTGCACCATCTCTGCCAACACCGGTGATGATTTATTAGCCCACACTAGGCTACTTTCCCTCCCTAATAAACATATTAAAAGAAAAGTGCGAGAATGTAGCAGCGCACTTACTCTTGTTCAAGAAGTTGTCACCAGGAGCGCTCTTGTAAAAAAAATGCAGAGATGTGTTTAAATGAATTAACAGAGTTTTTACACTGTTGTAAAAATATAAATTGTGAGTTAGCAACATAGTAAAAGTGTCAAAACTGAAATTATTCATAGTATTAGTTATTAATATTCAAAAAAATGGTGAGTTTACGTTATTGGAGTATTAAAACTAACATGTTTGCACTAATATTTAGCCGATTTAATGATGTCTATGTAATTTAAAAGCAATGCATTGTATTTTAATGACATGTAAAACTAATTTTAAAGCATTGCAGCTCAAATGAAGGCAGTACAGTAAAAGTAATTCCTCTTTGATCTGTCGTGGAGCGGCACCAAAAAGCAGAATGCGTGAAAGTGAAATACTCACATTTAATACAACTACCTCAGATTCGTACTTAGTTCCATTACACTGAAGGCGTTTTTATTTTTTGGACAGCTGCTTAGATTTTTTTTTTTTCAAGCAGCGTCATGTGATTATTACCACAAATGACTTGTTCCCATGTGACAACCAGTCATCACATGTGCCTACTTGATTTCACAGGTGCAGTTTTCACATGCTTCATGTGCAAACTCGATACGTTAGCAGCCTTCCATGTGTTACGTCGCATTATTATTATCTGAGACACATGCCAACGTGTGGCTTTTTTTTCCGCGGGGAACGAGTTCTATTAAACAATTTTCACTCGTGTTGCCACAGTTCAGAGCCTCTCACTGATGTGTTACATTTAAAATTGCTCTGCTGCGCCGAACGTAACAAGATAGTTTCTGCATGTCACTCAGACCAACAGTGGGCTCCTAGTTTGTCTCCTGTGTCCCATGGCATACAAAGAACAAGATGCCTCGTGCTGTTGGTTTGCCTCTTGCTTGTAGCGAGTGTGTGTGTGTGTGTGTGTGTGTGTGTGTGTGGTGACTGTGTTAAGGTGCTACCACACTGTCTGCTCTCTGTCAGCATTGCTTCCCTCGGGCATCAGTGTCTTCCTCACAGCTCCACTCGGCTTCAGCAGCATGCCTCAACGGAGGCGTCAGGACCCTGAATAACGACAGTAGTTGTAATTGTATTTGTTTGTGTGGTTGTGTTCGAGGCGCTTCTTAGTGGAAGGACAGAGTGTACCGTTTGTGTTGCACCGTGTGTGTGCATGGATTTGCTTCCTCTTGTGCATTTTCGCTCTGTGTTTGCTCATTTCGGAGCAGCCTTGTTCATTAGGTCTGTGGGGAGATGTGCTTTCTGCTGACTTTGTTTGGTTCAAAGCCAGAGGCTCTTACTGATCAATAGTATCCTGGACCCACCACGCCTATGTGCAGTTGATTGGCTCTCTGCATAGCAAGGCACCCACAGCGTAACAGTGAAAAATCATACATCAATATATTCCTCGCGTCTGTCTAGGTATTTTGGAAACGCCCTTAATCACTCACAATGCGCATGAAATTCATTCTTGTCGCTCTGAAACTCAAAAATGCATCGCTTGCTTTTATTTTCTTGAATGTAAAAATGTGTGGTATCAGAAGGGAATCTCATCACTGCAGAGTTTATGCTGATCATCACATCCAAAAAGGTGCACTAACAGATGTGTTTTCAAGGTGACAGTAATTTGCCAATAAAGCATTGAAAAGAACTCCAGGCTGGTGTTTATCTTTAGTTGCTGTTTGGCAGAATGAGACACAATTTGTGTGGGTGTGCGCCTGAAATCTGTGTTGCATCTAAGTGGACCAAAATTCACTCAACAGCATTTGTATTTCTTTCAGTCAATGACAGGAATGGTATTTCCTAATCACGTTTTCCCTTTTTGTCTGGAGGTAAAAAGCCCTCTCAGTCACCAATTAGGCCAATAAAAATATTGTGTCATCTGCGACTAAGGCCTTTTAACGCACAGTGACAGAAGACAGATACATCAGCACGTCCTTAATCTGCATCTGTCTATACTCTCCGTAGGTCTGGATGACTGTCTCCAGCAGTACGTGAAGAGCTTTGAGCGGGAGCAGATGGGGGGAGAGCAGCTGCTGCACATCACCCATCAGGAGCTGGAGGAGCTGGGTGTCACCAGAATAGGACATCAGGAGCTCATCCTGGAAGCCGTCGACCTCCTCTGCGCCCTGGTCAGCTGCCGTTACTTACCGACTATGTGTGTCTCGGCGGATGATGATGGAAGAATGTTTATGCAGGACATGGATGTGTTTGTGTGTTTGAGTGTGTGTTGTTGGTACGAGACCACCATAAGCTTGAAAAATATGGAGCCTCAAAGATAGCAAAACAAATCTAAAATGTGGAATTCATTCAGAAATACTACTTGAGCAGAATTAGCTCACTAGGCTAAAATGCTTTTTCTATTGCTACAGGAGTTCATACTGTAAGGATGGTTAGCATTACAGAAGTCTACACCTCTGGCTGGTGGAGTTTAATGAAGATAGATAATCCACTGTTCAGCATTGATTCTGCTAACTTGCACAGCTATGGACACCAAGGATGTGTAGTTGTTGTTATTTTCTACTTGCTAGTCTGCTTACAGTCAGCTCACAGGAGTCTTCTTCATACCTCCACAGTAGATCGGCACCTACATATGCACACTACTACCCTCATAGGCTGACCACAGTGTACTCTTGTGTACTTGTGGATGTGGACATTCCCAATTTTTATACAAGTTATGCTCGTGCATATGGGTCTGCTGGGGTCCACGTGGACTCTCACAGATGGTACTCTGTGGTGGTCCACTTGCAACCCATAAATTGCAGCTACGCTACAAGTGCAGCAGTATGCATATAAAGAACACGTCGATGCCAGTCTACTCCACATGTATGCTCTCCAGGCTGACACCAAGCAGACTAGAAAGTCACATACTCGTTGGCGTCCTTGCTGTCTGTAGCCGTCCATGTGAGAGTAAAGCAAGGCCGTACCATCAAGGCCTCAGCGTCAGCCAGGTACCGAGACCAAAGGGCTCGTCAATGTATTATCTAATCAGGAGTAGATTTGTGAAATAATAAGTCGAAGGACATAAATTAGCTTTTACCAGAGATGTTGTAAGGGAGAAACTTGCCACTTGAAGAATCCTGAATAGAAATCTATCTTCACCAAAAAAAAGCCAATCGTCTGCTTTGTAACAGCCAATCGTGTTTTTGCACTGATCCAAGCATGGTGTCATGAAACTCTAAATAGAAGTACAATCTGCAAGCAAAAAGGCTGTTTATTCTATACATGGGGTTTATATGTCTCGTTGATCCTTGAAATTGCAGTTATGGCTCTCTGCCCATTCATTTAGATAGAAGCCTGGTCTCAGTAACCCAAAAGAAGTGCTCGGTAGTGTTACCAAGCTGGCTGCTGTGTGATGGGACTTACCTGTAAGGACTTTGGTTTTATACCGTTTGGTTTTGTAGTAGTGAAGCATCGTTGATTTAAGAAGTTATAGTCTATTTTTAATTAATCTTAAAATCTTTTATTGCTTTGGAGAACCCTTCTCTTATAGATAAATTAATGGTTTTGATTGTCATATAAGTCAAGAAAATATTTTGCAGCTTTATCCAACCCCTATAACAAAATGTGGCTGGAACTCGAGGAGGCCATGAAGGCTTACAGGAACAGCTGTGCAATCGATTCTTGACAACTGTAAGTGCCTCAAAACAACAAGAAATAGTGACTGGATGTATGAAATGGACCAGTGGAGGGTTTGTTATGTTAGCCTATATGTCCAGCTTTACATTAAAGATGTCAGAGAGAAGAAGACAAGGACATCGAGAGGTCTGAAAAATGGCCCTTGGTGTCCTCTTGGAGTTTATTCAGTCAGCATTTGTCTGCTTGGAGTTTAACAAACTGGTAAAAAAAAGACCGGGTATCATCCCCCAATGTTCTTGAAATATCAAAGGAAACGTGCCCACAACCGTCGAGAACTGAAGACCAGTTAAAACCAATTGATTCCAGTGTAAAGTAGACCTTTTTTTAATAAACGACGTGAACTCACTATCACATTAGCAGTTACCGTTCATTACTCTGAATGCCGTTTCCCTTTTCAAAAGCTCCCGTGCTGAATGAGACGCTCTATATTCCTGAGAACAGAATGTCAGGGGCGAGTAAACAGAACGATACAGAGAAAACCAAAAGAGTCTCTGAGAGGTGTTTGTGCCCGTCTAGTGCTCAGATGCTCAAGGCTCGATAGCATGTTAGCGGTTAGCTCGTCGAATACAGTAATTCATCGATTGGCCCCGCGAGGTTTTCACTACGCCATCAAGCCACCAAGCAAATGGATTCCACTGTGCTTTTTTTTTTTTTTCTGGAGTGAATGGACCTTTTATTCTCTGATCAGATCAGATAGTTCAATTATTCCACTTTTAGACAGTTTTATTCAGGCGGAGATTTGTTTAACTGCTTCTGTTTGGACAAATCAACATTTCTGTTGGTTTCTTTGGTTGTAGGAAACAAAGGCTTCTGTAGAGAGAAAAACACACATGAATTAGCAAAGAAAATACAGTTTTGATATCCTAAAATTTAAAATCATATCCAGCTCTAGCATTTTCAAATGTATTTTATGTGTAAATAGAAGATTAATATCTAAAAAAAAAAGTCTGCTTTCCCAAATTTACTTCACCACCTGAGTAAAACTTTCCATCTAGAGTCTGTTTTCACTACTGAGTTCTCACAGGTAGGAAGATTTATATATTTGTTGTTGTTTATTTGCCTCCACCGGTTATTGATATTGGCTTAAGGAATGGCTAGAGAGAGAGAAAAAAAAAAAGAAAAAATCCTCCATCATTTGGGCCCTGCTTTGTGTGTACCTCCTCGGTCACTGCTGACTGTATGTGCAGTGGCCCTGCTCAGGATTAGGGAATTAGGGGGAATTAGGTGCTACTCTCCCAGAGAGAGAAAGAGAGGGAGTGGAAGAGAGGATGAGAGAGGAAGAGGAGGAGGAGGAGGAGAGAGTATGTAGAAAGAGTATGCAGGATGCACCTTATCTCCCAGGCACACATGGCTGGATTAGTTGAGGCTGTTTGAATGTGTGCGAATGTATGTGTGTGTGTGTGTGTGTGTGTGTGTGTGTGTGTTAATCAGCACCTCTTCTCATTCAAATGTTCCAGCATGGGAATGAGTGTCCGACAGTAGCAATCACCACATGTCCTGGAACTGGACACACACACACACACACACACACACACATTTAGGGATGCCAAGTAGACGAGATGAATCACTAAAACCACTGCTGTGAGTACTTTTAAAAGATAATACCAGTTTCTCGCAACTTGGGTGTTACTTTTCTGTACTTTGGGCTTATCATTCCCATCATTAATACTGTATTTTAATTTGCTGAGACCGATGAGAATATCAGTGTCTGGAGGGAAAAGCGCAGGCAGCCAGACAGGTTTAAATATAGCCTCAGGTTAGCCAAACTTACAGTACTTCAAAGAGACATCCAAGGCAAACTACAAAAAAAAGGAAAAAAAATATTACCCAAATCTGACAATTGTAATGCTCAGTCACAGTTTACAGGCAGGCTTTATGTTTTTTAGCTTTGTGCAAATACAGTTTTTATTCTGTGCAAAGAGGGATTAGTAGCAACATTTTGGGTGTGTTTAGATAATCTGGTTAAACTGTTGGCTGGTTACAGCTTGTCTCTTTGTGCTGCTGCTCATTTCTTGCCCAGTCAGGCTCTCTTGTAACAATATTTCCATGTTTCCAGATCTCTTTGGTGGATACAGTATTACCACAACGAATAGAAAATATGACCAAAATGAGAAATGTAAGACGAAAGCTGTATAAAACATAATTGTCCTCGCGTGCACATCGTGTAACAGAGCTCTATGACACCTGCAGACACTAAATATTTGGATTTAAAAGCACAAATCACTGTACTCAGCAATACAATCAATAAAGAAAAGCAAAATATGGTTCCTCTGGCTCAACTATTATGACTTTATTGTCTTTCTGCAGTAAAACAAGGGGAGCCTTTCTGGCCCTGGTTCAATGCAAGTTATAAGCACTGACTGAACTTGCAGTCTCTGGAAAAGTCCCTTCTTTTATGCCTATGCCATCAAATTTTGCCTGTAGCATCTATGCTAAGTAGGTTTCTACGTGGGTAGTGAGTTTTTAGGAGGCTGTGCTGGGAAATGAGTGTAACTTAAGGAAAGAAATGGGACGGCTTCTTCCAAAATCTAAATTGAAAGACAAAGACAGGACAGAAAAGCGTTTATATTTAAAGATGCAAGTATACTGTAAGTTTCCTCCTCAATTAAAATCAACTATAGCAGCTATAGCAGGTCACAGATTTGAGATAAACTACGGGTTATTATTGCAATAATTATAGTTGCTTACTGGAAAAACTTTGTGGCAGCTGATGAAGTTAAGATTAACATTCAAACAGACCTTGTGGTGTCCCTCATGGTTCTATTTTAGGGCCCCTTCTTCTACGTTCTAATGAGTATAAGAAATTCTGTCCACTCCATTGTTTCTTCTTTTTCTTCTTCAGCTAAATAGAAATGGCAAATGGCATCATTTTCTAATGACAGTGGACAAAAGGCAGAGAGACGCCCTGCAAAAGTCTGTCAAGGCTCATACACAGACAAACATATCCGCATTAAAAGGAATTTAAAGTGAACCGGATGGATTTACAAAGAAAACCAATGCAAAGCCAGGATATTCTCACAATATACCGAAATGTATTACAAGCAGCTTAACAACTCTGAAACCTTAAAATATCACGGCATAATCTCTAACAATAATAGCTTTATTGTGTTTCTATCTATGTCCCAAATCTACTTTTATTCTGCTTTTGTTCTGACAAAGTGATTCATGCCTTCATCTCCTCCTGCAACTCTTTTACGCAGATGAGTCACCTTTCAGTGTCGGTTCCTTGTCAGCGCTACCCTGTGACTCCAAATTGATTTTAAAATCCCCGAGGTTACTTGCAAGTTTTCACATTTGAGCTAATTAGACCGACGGTCCTCAGATGTGCTATATAGGTTATGTTATCTTTGGGTATACCCCTCGTCTGTGGAGAGCATCCCCCCATTATCTTCTGATCATTTCACACACTCGTCCCTAACACATTTCCTTTGCCTCGAAGACTGCTCTCTCTTATTTCTTGTTTTACAGCCTTTTGGTTAATGGTCATTTAAAGCTGGGGCATAACAGTATTTTCTCACCATCATTAGGCAAAAAATTCACTAATAACCTTGCAGCATATTGTAATTGAAGTGGTCTGAAAGGAGCCTCCTTTTCAGTTAGCAGGCTTTAGAAAATCTAGTCAGTCAGAGATCTTTTCAAAGGGATGATACCTGTTTTACAAATGCAGATGCAAGTGTGTGCCCCTTCAGATGGTCCTACCATGATAATATTTGCCTCTTGCTTGATATTGAGAATTATTTATCATTTGTATGACTTATTTCTGATGAAAAAAGACTGCATTTAACCACTTTCACATGCAATAATTTTAATATTGACAAAAACACCTAAATAAATCTGAATCAGAAAGGTTTTATTCCTCAGTAGGTTTTCACATACGAGGACTTTGACTTGACGTTTGAGTGCATGACAGTAAACACTAACATATAAATTAAAAATGGTTGCCAGTCAGTATGCAGCAAATGTTATGAGACAAATAAGAAGCAGTGTTACAAGTCAAATTAGTGTAATTAAGGGATTATGAGTCATAAAGTAATTGAAATACTTCCAGTCCAAATGTATGGATAATAAAATAAGTTTGGGTAATGGAATAATTTCAACTTGATCCACATGAAACAAACGAACAAAGTAAGTAAACGTGGATGTGCATGTAGCAGCTGTACTGTCCTAAGGCTAAGGTTCAGAGTGGATGGTCAGGACCAGGTACCTCCATACAAACCCCAATATAAAGTCTTTTAGCCCACAAAGCCGACACAGGGCTGTGGGTGTTTTTTGACAACTACCAGGCACTGGCAGCTACAGCCTCCATCCCAGTAAATGCAGACTACCTCACCTCAGGACACCTGCATGTAAGCCGACAGGGAGAGCTTTCGTCAGCTTCCATCACAGTTTGCATTTAAGTGCATTCCGTTTTCTTATTACAGTTGATAGGAAATCAGGAAAAGTTGCTTTCCAAGATTTGGCAGCAGCTGCCTGAGCTGCAAAGAAGGAAAACTGACTTTAAAAAAAATGGAGTCTAAAAGACAGTCTGACAATAAACGCAATAAAACCAAGTGTCAATATCAGTGGAGCGTTTTAAAAATGGTGCAAATGTTGTGATTGCACCTGCTTTAAGAGCTTTTCAGGCCCACAGATCTACAAAGGATACAGGATGGCAGTTTTCATCTGCTATATAACGACACTAGAATCACAATTACGATCTGGATAATTGGTATGAATTATAGTAGGTAAACATGTACAGGTTACTATATAAAGTAATGCATTGTATGTACATATGCTCATCTGGTGGGAAGAGCTGAGGACCAAGAGGGGGAGAAAAGAGCTGCAGGAAGAGGGCTGTATTTTTAAAATTCAGCTGCCTCTTTAAATGATTTTTTCCCCCAAGTGGTTTGGTACAGTCCCATGAAGGGGGGTCATTACAAACAAATCAGAACACATGCAGCCTTTTAATTTGTTTTCAAGCATAATTTCAGCTGCTGAACGGTAAATAGATGTTCCTGAAAGTCAAAAGACAAAAAAGGGACTGGTTTCATTTTTGAATCCACCTCCCAGTCGCAGAAAATTGCAGCTGGACTTATTTTGGGTAAATAGGAAAGAAAAACCTGCAGTGCAAATCTAAAATTCAGTCATTATACAAAAGTCATCTTCCTGAGTTGAGCATGCAGCAGAAAGCAGCACAATCAATATCCTCCTGATTAATAGATACTCTTCATTTCGTGGCCTGCGAGAGCTCATGCCGAGGAACGGAGAATGCGCGCTATTTGATATTTACCTCTTGAAAGGGAAATGATTATATGGTGAAGTCCCCCCCCCCCCTCCTCTTTTCATGTCAGAAATGATGCTGCTTTAGTGCGGCTCAGTGTGCGAACAATTGCAGAAATATCGGTACAGACGAGAGGCCACTCCACACATGGCTGCTATGGCAACCGCATTGACATGAAGGGGAGGGGAGGCTCTAATGGCATCGCCCTCTTACTGTATTGATTTGACACACACACACACGCAGGCAGCCACACGTATGCACGCATTGCTAAAATCGCATCCCTCTTTCTCCGCACACACACACACAAAGTCAATCAGGCGCTCGTCGACGTAGGCCATTATTCCCCTCTCTGCTTCATCTCGGTCCCACAGAAGCAGCAGATTGAATCGTATGACAGCCTAATTACAGCTGTGCAAACATGTGCATGTGTACATGTACGTTCACGCTGAATACATAAGATCATACAGGGTATGCGTGACCCATTTTCAGCGAGACGTATAGCTGGATGCGCTCTCTCTCTTTCCCTTGTCTTCTGCCTCTTTACTTCCTCAGTTGCCTCCCTCCCTCTCTCTCTCCCTGCTGCTGCCACCGTGAAACCCTCCTCTCTCCTTTGTAGTCACTGTGGTCGTGACTGTGTAGAATAGATCTAGAGGCAGAGGAGGAATAGATACGTCTAGCTCAGCCTGTGCATCTGACTATACAAGGATGTGTGTGTGTGTGTGTGTGTGTGTGCAGCCTTCGTGTCAGCAGGAATCAGGCTCCGTCAGGCAGGACATGACTTGAGGTGTCTTGGTACAACGAACGCAATGTGGCTCAGTGGATCTAAGTGTGTGTGTGTGTGTGTTTATCTAAAAGGGTCACAGTGCAGTAATGGGCCACTCCACCAGTGTGTCGGTGTTCTTCTATTGCTGCAGAAAATGGCTGTTTTATGAAAATGTTGATGGTTTGCTCTCAGTCATTTCAATTCATCCATCACGTTAGATGCCCTTTTTTTTCTTGCTGAAATTACCCTTATTTAGTCTGGTTAAAGGAAATATGTTTCACATGAGTCTTTCGTGTATAGATGTAGAAAGGACTTGTGAACATTTTGGGAAATCCCTTTGCATTAGAGTTAAATGAAAAAAAAAATCTAGCCTTGTGTCTTCTTATGGAGGTAGAGCGATCTGTGCAGAAGTTGTTCAATTCATACAATCGAAAAAGTCAAACAAAAAATGTGTTTAAGACGTTACTTTCCCGATAACTTCGTAAAGACATAATTGCCTCTTAATTGTTAAAGTTGGGGTTGTTGCTTCAGAATTAGGTTTTCAATTAAAATTAAAAAAAATGTCACAATATTCTAAATTTCCACTTCTGTGTTTTGCACTTGTAGTCTGATCCACAGATCCAGTCCTGCAGCCACTCTATGTGTTCTCCAGAGCATCTAAGCATGCAGTAATTTATCGGTTACACTATAGGTTAGGCACAGTGCTATAGGGGATGTCTGCAGCATTCTTATAACAATGCTGTCTGTATTGGCTCTATCTGACGATTTGCAAAGATCTCATACACTCACTTGTCAAGGTATTTGAAGGCTGCTGTTCTCTGTGTATTCTGAGCAACAACAGTAATGATAAAAGACCGCTCAAATCTATGAGTAACGCTCGTATACGTCTCCAAACTCTCCCAAAACCAAGTTACCCTTAAATTACTGCATGGTCATGTGCGCTATATTTAACCGGGTCCGAGGCCGGCTGTCGACTCCTCCGTGCACTGAGTCCAAACCGCAATTGCAAAACGCAGAAGTGGAAATTTAGAATAATTCAAAGATCTAATTCTGGAGCACCAACCCAAATGTGAGGTATTAAATATTAAACAGAGAGACTATTACCCATTTGTCTAAAAATACATTATGACAGTTGCAAACCCATTTCTCATGTGATTCATTTGGATGGTGTGAATTCGGAAAAGAAAAAAAAAAAACAAAAAAAAAAAGCTGCAAAGCGTTACATAAACTGTGGAGCCGGCAGGTGATCAGCTTGGCTTAGCACAAATACTTGCAGAGGGAGACATGGAGCTTTGCTGTCACTACAGTGAAACAATATGATTAACATCACTTTTAAAAGCTTGCCAGTCAACACATTAAAAAATGCTAATTTGAGCCCTCTTTGGATACGACCAGATTAGCTTAGCATACAAAAAGATGTTAGCAGGAGGGATACAGCTAGCTCGACTTTCCTCAAAGTTAAAAAAATACAACTTAAACGTTTTTTAAAGTTTCTTTTTTGGGGAAATTATTTGTGAATGTGGCTAAATGTGAGGAAAAAGCAGGGAAATGACATGCAGTACAGGTTCGGCCAGCTGGGAATCGAACTAAAGACGGACTTCTGAAAGCGTTTGTGCCCATGTGGTGTCCTCTAAGAGCCCAGATATTTTTATATACACTGCTGCACAACTGAACTGCGTTCTCAATTACATTTTGAGGAAAACTTACTTTTCCCTACATTTGTTTGTGGTGTATCACATCCATTTCTAATCAGCTCTAACCAACTGTCCTCTTCAGCCAACCAGCCATATATTAGATTGAGCGGGAAAATGGAGGAGAAGCTTAAGACATGTTGTGAAAGGGTCGTATTTTAACAACAAACATGACATTTTCTTAAGCCTAGACAAGTACTTTTGGTGTCTTATCCTAACCAAGCTTCTAAAAGGTCGATAACGTTGTGAAATTATCAAATTTAATTCAAAACATAAAATTTTCATGAACTAACCAAGAAGTTTGTGCCTAAACCTAATGTAACAAAGTCAAAAAATTATGAAAAAAATATGTCAAAAACTCTCCTGAGTGTCAGAATTTGTGGCTCTTTGAGGGTGGAAACGTTTCCTACAATGTCAGACTTTGAGCTTTCCAGAAGAAAATGGTTTTCTGTTAGCTTAGCCTCGCTTAATTTAAAGACTGCATCCCCTTCAAGTCTTTAAGCTAAGCTAGGCTAAGCTAAGCTAAGCTAGCCACCTTCCAGCTCGAGGCCTCTGCTCCACACACAGACATGATGAGAGCGGTATCAATCTTCTTATCTAACAGGATTGTCAAAGTTCTTAACTGCAGGCAACACCTTAAGCCACCAACTAGAACATCAGACAAACGTACTGCCATTTTACTTTTTTTTAACCTAAATTTCTCTGTTTTGTTCTGCAGAACTACGGTCTAGAGACAGAGAACCTCCGAACTCTCTCCCACAAGCTGAACGCCTCAGCGAAGAACCTCCAGAACTTCATCCTGGGCCGGCGGAGGGGCGGACACTACGATGGACGAGCTTCCCGAAGGCTACCCAACGATTTCCTCACCTCGGTGGTGGATCTAATCGGTGCAGCCAAGAACCTGCTGGCCTGGCTCGACAGGTACCGCCTTTGGTATCGACTTTGGGGCTTTGATTTGTAGGACAATGCTCTCAATTTAGACAACCGCCACATATGACTATCGCGTTCAATTAATGGTAAAAAAAAACACAGCTGTGCTCCTCGCTTGGCCTTCACCTGGTGTGACTGAAACATCATCAGTCATTTTCACAGCTGACATTTGGAGCTACAATCTCTTTCCAGTCCCTTCAGGTTTAGGAACTTACAAATAACCCTTTTGAATCAATCTGAAACTTTCCTGACAAGTGGTGTAGTTGCAACAAGAAGAGCCACAGACATATAGCATTGTATTGTCACACCCCTTTGCAGTAACAGTACAATACGATAAAGTACAAGCATAACGTCGTTTTTGTTTTGTCGTCATGCATTTATATGAGCTAATGGAACCGTATGAAGCTGAGAACACATAAAGCAGAGCGAGCTTTGGTGGATCCCTGAGTTTCACAGCCTCCTGGCCATAATATGAAACCAAATATTGTTGTTTGTCTTTATCTGTTGCTCTTGTGCTCAGAGAGAAGCAGAGGATATCCTTTATTTCTCCTTCTCTCTCGCTGCCCTCTCATAGCTTTTAAAATCTCACTGATAGCAAATAATAGACCAAAATAAAATGCAGTTACAAACTATTCGTCCGCAAAGGTTCACCAATTTTTTTTTTCTTCTTTTTTATGAAGTATTTGTCAGATTATGATCTTTGTTCTTTGTTTATTTGTTCCAGGTCTCCATTTGCCAGTGTGACAGAGTATTCATTACTGAAGAACAACATCGTGCAGCTCTGCCTAGAATTAACCACCATCGTACAACAGGTGCTCGCACGCACAACACGCACGACGCATGCTTCACACAATCTGTCATTTCTGCATCCATTACAGCGAGTTTAAATCGACTGATTGACTCGAAAGTGGGTTTTGGTTCGGGAATATCTCTATGAATACAGCTCGCTGTGGCCTATAGCTCATTCCTATGGATCTGACTGTGTGTGGAACATATGTCCGTTGCCACAGGCTGTTTGCGGCGTGGCTGATGGGAAGAGCAGCTCCCACTAACAGCCTGAAGCGATGTACTCATCGACTCGCTGTTAGACCTCGCCCCCCCCTGCCCAACTTATAGGCTCTGGTGGAGAGTGAACCGGGGGTCTCTTCATTTCCTGTCCTCTTTCTGCTCCCCCTCTAGCAGTCTCTGCTGTTTTAATACACTCTGCTGCACACCCTTTTAAAACAATAAAACTGGATGCGTACGCACTACTGTAGATACTGTAGACATGTCATTGTTTGGACAGAAAGTATGTCTGCTCTCCTGGACCTCATCCACGTCCTCCCAGTAAGAGCCTGCTTAGAGTGTGTGCGAGAGTGTGTTTGTACTTGTGCCCAGAGTGAGTCCTGGAGCCGAGCAGATAACACCCCATCCCCTCTTACAAGGGCCAGAGGAGAGCGAAGAGAAAGGGGCCACCGAAGGCCCACAATGGGCCAAATGAACATGTGGCTGCCAGGGTGCAGCGAGACAGACAAAGGTGGCAGCGCTGCCCGCACTAATGCATCAAACAGATGAATTAACCGCTACCATGCACATCTGGCGGATTCAGTGGGCTGCTTTCCCAGAAATAGATTAACTATCAGCTATCGTTAAATAACAATCTGTCATGTTCAAATGATGTCGTCCCTAAATCCTGAGGAAGCTCACGAGGCTCCGGGCAGCAGAAATGGTCAATCCGGTGTATTAGTGTGCCTGCGTTGTGAAGTAATGTGCATAATGTGGAAGGTTAGAAACAAAATAGCTGACTGCTCGTGTTCTCCACAAGCCATCCATCTCTTCCTGCTGGACATCTCATTTCATTCCCTTCTTTGCCGGCTGTTATATTTGGAGATGAGAGTTATTTGAGCTAGTGTGCGGATGTTTTTTTTTTTCCATCTAATGTGTTTCTTTCTTTCCTCCTCTCCCGTTACAGGATTGCACTGTGTATGAGACGGAGAACAAGATTCTTCACGTGGTAAGTTTCTGCACTTTAAAAAAAAAAAAAATGCTTGTTGAGATATCAGTGATGATTAGAAGTTTGCTCTGAATGGAGTGGATCTCTGCAAATCTTCATACGCTGATGAGGACAATAACAGGCAACAAAAGAGCGCCGTTGGTTTAAACTCCCGTTTTTCACAGACTAGAATGAACTTTTCATGCTCAGCTAGTTTCCCTTTATTTCAGCATTGTTACATATGTGGTTGCGTCACACATGCAAAGTATGATTATTCAACATATTTCCAAGCTGCTGGCTTATTGCACAAAGAACCATTTTTATCACCTCAATCTCTGTTCTCTAAGACAACTTCTTGCAAAGTCCCACTTGCTTGAACTAAAAAAACTTCGCTGTTAGGAAAAGAAAAAAAAAAGCACTCGGATTGATTGTGCCTCGTGAAACAAAACAGCATTATTTAAACCTTTTGAGAACACTTCAGTCAAAATTGATTTCATGTGTGTGTTTGGCGGGCTGAGGGTGTGTGTATGTGTGCACGTCAGAGCGTTTCTTTTTTTTTTTTTCTGTTGGAATTTGTAGCACAAATTGGTGCATGTGAAAGTGCAAATGAGCCCGAGGGTTTCTGAAAGCCCGAGCGTAGTCGGTGTGTGCGTGCGCGCATCCACGACGGGGAACTGTCCGTGTCCACGTGTGAAACCGAGTGAGCAGCTAGTGTCTGATCTGGGCTGACAGTTGGATTGGGACACTTCCTGCTGCCATTCAAGGTCAGGTGGAGGAAACCAAATGAAATGTGGGCAGGGGGAGTTCCCGGGAAAATGCCAGAGCATTTAAGTTCAACGGAAAATACCCAAAACAGACTCAGTTTGTAGTAAATACACAGTATATTTCTGGAAACAACATAAATCCTTAGACGGTGTTTGACATGTTGCTGTGGTGTCCCCCCCCTTTTCAAAATAAGTCACCCCAAAGCTTTTTTAGGTCGAAGTATCGCAGCTGTCATTTACCTCCGTTGTTGCATGCCCGCTAATGACACACGACAATGACATTAGGCAGATTCCTAATATTTAAATGGCTCTCCACACGTGTGCACGCACTCGCGCACGCACACCCACAACCCTCGGTGCCAGACTAAAGGCTACACATGACTAAGTCTGTTATGTGTGGGAGGTTTATGTGTGAAATGGGGAGACAGCATGAAAAGAGCGAGAGAGGAGGAGCTGTTTGTTTTTAGACGTCGCAGCCTCCTTTGCAGATCTTTGTTTATCGTGTGTTTTGGGAGGAAAAAAGAAAAAGATAAAGTGGAGGTGAAGGGAAAATGCAGCGCACACACACACACAGGACTCACACATATAGAAAGAGATGCCTGGTAAAGATGTGTGTTGTAGCTGAATCGTCGAAGAAATGACATCCCATGTGTTTTTCTAAATGCTTCTCTTGGGTCGAGTGAAAGAGCTGAAAAATGTAGCATGATAAAATGCTTCATTTCAGTAATATTCAGCATTTTTAAGGACTTTTCTGTAATAAAAATCAGCAAAAAGATGATTAATCTTAAATTTTGCCACTT